AGCCCCAACACCAACCCCTCTCCCTCCCCGCACTACCCGCAGTAGACAGACTAAACGTTCTAACCCTTCTTCCCCTACAGCACAATCACCTCCACCTACCTATACCTTTGTTCCTGAGACACCAGTCTCCTCTTCCCCCCCTCATAAGAAAACCTTTATTCCACAAAACTCTCCAACCAATTCCATTGCAGAAACAATTACTTTCTCACAAAACTCTCCAACAAACTCCACTGCAGAAACAATGGATGACATTCAAAGCTATATGCTTGAGACACAAGATCCCATAACTCATGCTCCTTCCACACTTGAAGTGGTTGCCAATATTCATACCCCTCCTACTAATATTCCCCCTACACCCCTTCCTCCTACTCCCTCTCAACACAACCTAACCCCCTCAATCCCATCCACCACTGATATCCATCCTCCCAATACCCATCCTCCTGATATGCATCCCCCTCTTACTCACAGCACCCCAACACCATTTCCTCCTAATCCCTCCCAAGACAACACATCCCCTTCAACTCCAACTATCCATCCTTCTGATATTCATCCTCCTAACACTAATACTCCCCACACATCTACTCCCCCCAACACAACCCACCCCCTTCAACCCCAACTATAGGCACATTCTCCCTCCCTCCATCCCCTCTATCCTTTGCACTCCCTCCCGGATACACACGAGAATCACTCATGGCACAACAATGCCCTTCTCCAGATTCCCTACCGCCTTATATCCCTCCTTTACACCCCCTAGCTCCCTCCCCTTCAAATTCCCTAACATGTACATGTGTTATCATTCATAAATCAACTAGGATATAGCTCTCCTACATTGGAATATTCGCGGTTTCCGCTCTCATAGATCAGACCTACGTCATATCCTTGCTACTTATAATCCATCTATTATATGCCTACAAGAGACTTTCCTCTCACACCCTCCTATTCCAATTCCCAATTACCATTTTATCTCTTCCCCACACTCCCTTTATGTCTCGTCTATACTTATCCATCATAAAACACCTTATGTCATACCTCCCATACAAACTTCTGTCCTGTGCACAGCTATTCGCATCTTTCTTCGCCGCTGGATCACAGTGATTTCAGTCTACTTCTCCCCATCCCATCCCATTGACTTTACTGCCTTTGAGACTCTAATTTCCCAACTCCAACCACCTTTCCTCATAGTTGGTGATTTCAACTGCCGCCACACTCTGTGGGGTGACTCTACCACCAACTCCCGAGGCCGATCTCTAGAACGCTTCCTCTTCACAAATAACCTAATTATTCTTAATTCAGATCGCCCCACACACTTTGACATGCGCACACAATCCTTTTCATGCCTTGACCTCTCTCTATGCTCTCCTACTTTACATCTAGATTTCCATTGGTCAGTTCTAGACCACTTCCCCTATAGTGACCACTTCCCAATATTCCTTTCTCCTACTTCATATGTACCACTTCCTAATCCTCCACGCTGGTGCTTTGATAGAGCTGACTGGCATACTTTCACTTCACTCTCTACTATACCTATCCCTCCACCCCCCTTACCGTCCATTTCAGATATGCTACATTGTTTTACAACCACGATCCTAAGAGCTGCCTATACAGCCATTCCTCGAACTTCAAGACCCTATACTTCTAAATGTGTTCCATGGTGGAATTCTGATTGCACCAAAGCGCTCCTCTTAAAACGAGCAGCCTGGAACAGCTATCGCTACAAACGAGGCACCCCTCACCAGCTATCAGCCCTTATTTCCTTTAAAAGAGCATCTGCCCATCTTCGCCGTACAATTAAAAACAACAAAACAAATAGCTGGCAAAATTATGTTTCCTCAATTACATCTACATCTATTTCAGCTGTTTGGCGACGGATCCATAAACTATCAGGCAAACATCCCCCCCATCCTGCACCCGTCCTCCATATTCGAGATATTCTCATCTCTGAGCCTGTCAAAGTAGCTAATGAACTGGGCAACTATTTCAGCCAGGTCAGTAGTGGCTCTCACCTTTCCCCACACTTTTCTTCCATTAAAACCATCAAGGAACGCACCCCTATTACCTTCACCCTATCCTCTGATGAGTCCTATAATGCTCCTTTTTCTTCTTCTGAACTCAACGCTGCATTACAGTCGTGCCGCAACACTCATGAAGGCCCTGATGGTATTCACTATCGTATGCTCCGACACCTCCCATCTTCCTCTCTATCCTTCCTTTTAACTATTTTCAACCACATATGGACGTCAGGAAATTTTCCTTCTCATTGGCGAGATGCTCTCATCCTACCTTTCTTAAAACCCAATAAATCAGGTACCCTACCCCAAGATTACCGCCACATAGCTCTAACTAGCTGCTTGTGCAAACCACTAGAACGAATGGTTAACTTCCGTTTAATGTGGTACCTAGAATCTCATAATCTCCTTTCCCCTTCCCAGTTTGGTTTCCGACGTGCCCGAAGTACAGCAGACCCACTTGCCCATTTCGAGACATACATTACATCGGCATTTGCACGCCATGAATCCGTATTAGCCATATTCTTTGATCTAGAAAAAGCATATGACACCACATGGCGATACCATATCCTCCAACAATTGTCCTCCCTAGGTTTACGTAGAAAAATGGGTGTTTTCATTAAATCCTTCCTTTCTAAACGTACTTTCCAGGTCAAGATTGCCTCTTCCACTTCATCATCCTTTCCTCAATTCAAAGGCGTCCCACAAGGAAGTGTGCTTAGTACCACTTTATTCCTTCTTGCAGTCCTACCACCAGGAGCCAGAGCATCACTATATGTTGATGACTTAACAATCTATGCATCTGGCACATCCATACCAGAACTCTGTCAATTCCTTCAGTCTGCAATAACATCAGTAACTTCTTGGGCCACCAACCATGACTTTCACTTCTCTACCTCTAAATCTTTCCCCATCTTTTTCTCTCGCTCACGTACGGTCCCCAAACCCCCACTCTTCTTATATAATGCTCCACTCCAATACCGGTCTTCTGGCAAATTCCTAGGCGTTATATTTGATTCCAAATTGTCCTGGCGAGACCATATCTTGTACATCAAAGGAAAAGCTCAACGTTGCCTCCGAATCTTACAAACTCTTTCACATATCTCCGGGGGCTCAGATCGCAAAACTCTCCTCCATCTTCATGTTACTTTGATTCTCTCCACTCTAGATTATGGATGCCATATCTACTCCTCTGCCTCAACCTCTCTTCTTGCTCACCTTGATACAATCCACCACAGTGGTCTCCGCTTCGCCCTAGGCGCCTTCCGCTCCTCTCCAGTTGAGAGCCTATATACTGAATCAGGCATGCCGTCCCTCTCTCGATGTCGAGCCCTTCTCTCTCTCCGATGCTATGCTCGATTTCACCAATTTTCCCTTACCAAACTAACTATTCCACAATCCTTACTTCATACCCTTACCTCTTCTCCACGTTTACCAACTCCTCTCCCCGTACGCATGGATACCCTCCTCTCCCATTCCCCCTTCCCTCATCTCCGACCTCTCCCACTGTCTGTCCATTCCATTCCTCCATGGCTTATACCTAACCCCTGTATTTGCTCCTCAGTTTTCCCTGACCCACCAAAATCAGATATTCCCCCCTCTATCCTTCTCACTCATTTCCTTGACCATGTCTCCATTCATTCCTCCAGCATTCATGTTTACACTGACGGTTCCAAATCCATCTCAGGAGCTGGATTCGCAGTAACATTCCCAAATTGCACTTTCAAATATACCCTCCCTCCTGAATCTAGTGTCCTTACTACAGAACTATATGCACTCCTTTTTGCCTTAAGATGCATATATTCATCCACCTCTTCCTCTTTTACTATTTTTACTGACTCCCGTAATTCTTTAACCCTCATAAAGTCAATGCACTCGACCAATCCCCTTGTCTGTAAGATCCAGAACTGGTTGTTCTATCTATCCACACGTCACAAATCTGTCAGATTTTCCTGGGTACCCAGCCATGTTGGAATCCCTGGCAATGAACAGGCAGATACTCTTGCACGATATGCCGCAATGTCCACATCACCTCAACAACGCTTCTCACATATTCCAGCTACAGATTACTACCCCCACTTTAAGACCTTCTTGTATACCCGATGGCAATCTTTTTGGTCAAGACTCCACAACAATAAATTACATACCATAAAACCATCAATCTCCTCTTGGTCAGCTCCATTTCACAAAAACAGACGTTGGGAGACTGCCCTCGCACGATTACGTATTGGCCACACTCGCCTAACACATGCCTATCTGATGTCACGCTCAGACCCGCCCCTATGTCGTCTATGTAACATCCCTCTTTCAGTCCCACACATTCTCTTGTCCTGTCCACGCTTTAATACAGCACGTACCTCTGCTTCTCCACACCTATCCTCCCTTCACCGACCTCCCAACATATCAGACATCCTTACAGAATCTCACAGCTTCTGCCTCGACAACCTGTTCTCCTTCCTCAGACACATAAATATCCTTCACTTGATCTAACTCCCTTACCTAAACCACCATAATCTTTTCCCTCATCTTCAACCTCTCAACACTATTCTAGATAGCTGACACATAACAACTATCACCTGACATCCCCCTTTACTATACTTTCCTATAGTGCTATATGACCTTAGATGTCTAGCACATTTATCTAAACCATTAACCATTAACCATTATTATATTTTTCATATATCCAAAATTAATGTTTTCCATAGACACCCTTAGCCTTGCCCATCTAGCATCTAGGTGTAAACATGCGTTGTTTGACTTCCACTTCTACCAATCCTGGCTATAACTGTGTACCTGCTTCCCTTACGCAATACTTTGCACCCTAAACTATGACATCTACAAAGGCAGTAATCGGTAAAACATACTATCTATGTTTGTCTTGTCTGTAGTCAATTTCTGTGTGCTTGGGAATTCAAATTTTAAAAATAAGCTCACTTGTGAAAAGGTGAGTGGGTGCACAGAGCCCAGAGCCAAAGGATTAATCATGCAGTCCACTTGTGGTACACATTTTAATCTTGAAAATGTTAACAATCAACCTCCATAAAATTCTTCTTCATCATCATCATAATCATCTGCATGAGCAGGTAAGTAACAAATATCCTCTTCATCTGAATCCAAGAGATGCTTTCCAACATTGACATCCCTGTACTTCAACGATGATGCTTTGGGAGGTAATCCAATTTCCATTTTTGCATCTTTCATCTGTGCAAGTGCTTCCACTGTCTTTTTCAGCTCTCTCTCCTTAAAAAGAAAAGAAAAAAAAAAAACATCTATAAAACAAAATGAATGCAATCATTTTCATTAGTAAATTTAGTATTTTCAGACTATAAGAGTAACAACTGAAGATAATGAAAATGTGGAAGGATTAAAAAAATGTTTCAAAATATTCATAGCCATCAAACACTTGTGATCACTTACCTTCATTTTGGAGAGATAGCTACGTTCTAGGGTTATAGACTCTTGTAGTGATATCATTTTGGCTTGGCGATCTGACTTTGGTCGATGACTATCTATTATTTGTTGCAGACCAGGAATAGGCTGGGGATGTTCAAGTCGTCTGAAAAAGTAGATCATGGATAGTATAAACAAATAGTTCAAAATAAAACCTGCATTCTTCAAAGTGAGATATATATATTATGGTGAACTGTCATATTATACATTACTAACAGAACTAGCACACTTTAAAAAGTACTGAATACTTAATTATCTAATTCTCATTAAGAAGCTAATTATTACCTTTCATCACATATCTAAGCTTTCAAGTAAAAAGGCATAAGTTATATACATGAAATACTGACTTAAAACACTGTCAATCATACCTATATGGTTTGAAAGGCTCTCTGATTTCACCATTTCTTAACCGTCGTAACTCCACCATCTGAATACGTTTTGTACCAAAATCAAGTGCAGAATGGCTAGGGACTTGATTCTGAATACCCTCCTCTTCATTTCCTAAGTGTTTTCTATGTGTAGAGCTTTCACCTCTCCCTTCATTGTTTTTTTCTTTTTCATTGTTTGCAGACTCTAGTGCATCTCTCAGTTCCATCTGCTTCAGTTCGCGGGATATAACATCTGCTGGATCTTCCTCTTCAGACCTAGGTATTTATATTAAATAATTTATTAAAATAAAAGAGAGAGGAGAATAGATGGCAATGGAGAAGCAAGAAGTGAGAAAAGAGCAAGAAGAAGAGAGGGAAAGCAGCTAAAGGGAAAAAAAGGATTTTAATCCAGCAATATGCAACATTTAATTAAGTGTTATTTCAAAAGAGTTGTAAACACAAATAACAGAACATTCTAACACTGACTATTCTTTCACAACATAAAAAGGTATCTAATCTTGGTCCACTGATTACAGTTTTTTGTGTGAATTTTGTAATAAACAGATGGATATATATTAATACTAGTAACAACTTTAAAATCTTTCTGAAAATCAAGGAAAAGGGTAAACAGGTGAGATAGATATGAACAGTAACTGACTCATTGGTGACTAAGTACTAGTGGAGCCATCTATGTGTAAACTCAATTGACTAAAATTACAGTAGACATGCCATGTATTTCATGTCATCCATGACAGAATTAAAACATATATTTCCAGTATTCTCCTTCTCATTATCCTTGAACTACCTTTCTACACATAATGCAAACATAACTGTCCTGATGAACTTACCAGGACTTTCTGTGATTTTTTTTCTTGATGCAAGAAGAGTGCTGAGCCATGAGCTCCAGAGGGTCTAAATTTTCATCATCACTATCAATTTCATCATCTTTTTGCTGTTTAGAGGTTGTAACTCTCTGACTTTCATTGCAATTGATGCCTCTCCATTCTGTAATATTTAATCAGTAAAGGAAATGGGTTTCCTCAAAACATAATATCTATAGTAATAATCATAATTTAAAAAGGATATATCTGTAACAATAAATTCTTTTTCTGTAAGACCTATTAGTAAAGTTATACAAACCTAGTGCTTGCACATCAACAGGAAGATATGCAGTTCTCAAATTCCACTCCCTTTCTCTCACTTCCTCAAGAGCCTTAGCAACTTCATTTCTCTTTCCTCTAAGGCGTTCACCCCTGTCTGGAAGGTTAGCCAGCAGTGTTCTGAAAAATATCATTTTAATTAAACTTTATGGTACAGACACACTAAGCTTTGGCAAGTTGAAGATCATATAATGAAAGTGGAAAAAAGTTAATATAATTAAAGTGGAAAAAAGTTGCAGCCATCTTCCTAAGAAATGATCTGCAGACATGAATAGTAATGCCATTTATATAGGAAAAAGACTGCAGAAAGTGTCGCTGAAAGGCTAAAACTACTTAGTGCCCCTCTGTTTCAACTCTATTTTGCCATGCATAGCGATGAGAAGATAATGTTTGCCAACAGGTATTTGGGGTGGACCCTAACATCAACCTTCCCCATGGGCAGTGTCCAAAGGGCACACCCACTCACAGCAACTTAAATTGTTGTAAATATTGTGACATGGAGTTGGGGACTTGCTCTCTGGTGAGGTGTCCATATTTTGAAGAATTACCATCATTTTCTCTACATAACTTCTATATAACAGGCTTTACATCAATACCAGTTGTGCACCAAAGATTTTTGTTTGAGTTCCTGGTTGCACACCTGAATGATTTACAGTAGTCTATGATCAATATAAAAATGTAACATCATTATGGAATGAGGAATTTACTCAGATTACAGGACTTTCAAGCATTTTGTTATCTGAAAAGTTTCAGGATGTGCACTCTTGAAATGGACACTTGGTAACCGTTGCACACTGCACACTTCAAATTTTTTTCATGCACACCCGAAATCTTGTCGAAAAGTGCCATACTTTCCATTCTGAGTAGTAAGGACCATGAAATATGAGGCTTGCCTAATGTCTCAACATACTAATTCACATCTGTTCTACTACCAATAAAAGAACAAAACTCTGTAAACTGTAAATGTAAACTCTGCATAGACATTTTGTGAGGAGTCATACCAAACTGAGTACATGTTTAGAATAGACCAATTCAGTAACGCGCAGCAAACAAGCCTAGCAACAAGCACCTAGTGAAAACAAACGTCAATTCAAAAACTCTCTGTGTGTGCCTATGGATTCGCTGTGCAAGAAAAATACTCTACAGTCTGACTCATAAATAGTTAAGCCAAATTGTGGAGTCAAAGATTTTTTCTGTTACAAACAAGTTTCAAATTGTATGACCCTTTGTGAATACCGACTGACTTTCACTTACTTATTGCTGAGAATGGTATCCTGCCTTCTGAGCACATCTTCCAGCTCAATGACTGACTTCTTCCTCAAGTCCCCCAGATACCCCTGCTTCAGCTTGGGGTCCTTTATGGTAACGTCATCTCCCTGCGCGGGTAGGGCCTTCCACCTCCTGCTCACCTTCTTCAGGAGGGGAAGACTGTCCTCTGTCCCTTGGTCCTGGAGACACAAATCCGTCACATTCTCGCCACTGAAGATGATGTTCTCATTCTCTTCTGTCACTTCTCTCTCCTGACTCGTGACCTCCTTGGCACTTGACATCGTGTTGACCTGTCACTGCTGAAGAGTCTAGATAATACTTTCTTGGGTCTTTCCTCCCAGGTATTGCCTTCTTCTTTCTTCTTTCTTCTTTTATAGGGTTTTAGACTTTTGCATAGTCTATGTGTGGTGGCGCAACATTTGGTTTGTTTACTCTCTAGAAACGGGAACAAGTGACGAGTGAGAAGCGCAATAAAAACGAGGAATCGTCTCATGAATAATAATAGTAATATATCATATGGAACAGAGAACATAACAAGAAATAATAAAAGAAAACCTTGAGACTACCGATGGAGGACTCCAGGAAACAAGACCCAGGGAATATAGATACGATTAGTCTAAAAACCTATTAATGAAGGAAGAAATCTCACGAATATTGGAAATATACCGGGGATAATGCCAAGTATTTCTGGAAATTGAATAATGAAATGTCTTCATTAGAGGTTATTAATCAGTCTGATTATCGTTTTTTTTTTTTTTTTTCTTAAGAGGCTGCGATGAAACACGGTTGAAATAAGAATGAGAAAAAATAAATCTGTAGGCAAGGAGAGCACAAGACCTGAAAAGAGCCTTATCCAAAGACACAGAGAGAGAGAGAGAGAAAGAAAAAGAGAGAGAGAAGAAGTAGAAGAGATAAATGTGCGAGGACCAGCAGGGCCAAACGCCATCTACCCGTGTGCAGCGAAATCAGCGCCGCAGAGACGTGCAACATTTCGCCGAGGTCTGAGTTACGGCCGTCATCTCCCTCTCTGACTCCTCTTCTGGCGATGGCGGCGTGTAGCAGGAGACTCTCGCGTTACCTAAGCTGTAAGTATTGTACCCACACCACTCTGTTCTCTTGGAAGGCCTTGTCGTAAGCCTATAGACGCACATGTCATAAAGTCCGTCTTGGAAACAGCATCGTCCTTGATCACTTCACGAGTATTGGTCAGTTGTCTGTAGTAGTAGTCGGCCAGACGCATTTTTTTCTTTCTTTTTTTTCTTTCTTTTTGCTATGAGTTAGTGGGTGAGAGAAGCTGATTGGATGTTGCTAAGGACAAAGACCTCATTCATGTCCCGAAATCGTGGCAGATATGCTAATTGTAGACACAACTCCCTGCGTAGTGCCCAGAGATGGAAGTACCTTTTATTCTGTTGCTGATGATATCTCTGGCGGCGAGATCACAGGCGACATCACACACACACAGAGGAAAAGAGCTCAGGATTCATATTGAGTTTGTAGATAGCTCAATTGCGCCAACTGTACAGGAGGAGATCAGACATGCTGTGGCTTACATGTCTCAAGTAGTGAGATTGAAACATGCTGATGTAGGGCCTGTGTTCCGCCTCCCTAGAGACATGAGGGCTTGTGTGGCCCTCTACACTGAGGGCCCTAATGTTGGCAAGTGTGCTGGAGTGTCTGCAAGGTACACAGGGGACTACTGCGGGAAGGCTCTCATTCCCGAGGCCCACCTGGAGGGATTGAAGGTCTTCAGCAAGGATGAACCTCGCTGTAACTCTGACTCCCTACCAGAAGGAAAGGGCTTCAGGAATGGCACAAACTTCATACTCTATGTAATGTCCAGTTCTGATACATTCTGCAGCCATTCACATGCCGTTTCATCAACATGCCGTTTTAGCACAACACTGGTTGGTGGTGAAAGGAGTGGGCGGCCTTTAGCTGGAACAGTAACAGTATGTAAAGACCGCTTGTATGAACTGACACCCGTGTTGTTGAAGCGGATAATTGTCCATGAGGTAATACATCTTTTGGGTTTCAATTATAGAAGTATAATGGAATTCATAGAATGTGACGGAGAAAGAGACCCACATACTTCATTGGAAAATTTGAATGTGTCTAGCCCATTAATGGTTGAAAATCAATATCTCCTGTGTTGGAAAAGGAGAGATGTCCTTAAGGTTTTAGGCGAGAAAGAGATCATTGTTCAGTCACCACAGTTAACAGTAGCAGCATTGCGACTTAAAGAATACTTAAATCAGACGGTAGATTGTAGCTCATACAACCAGAGTTTTGGTGTAGAGGAACCTTTTGAATATACTGATGGTTCTGTACCTGAGCAAGAATATGACATGTATGATAGAAATGATACCCTTGATGGGAATGACTCTCCTCTCACCACGTCTGGAGGAGTAGCTTTGGCCACAACTAGAACAGGGATACACTGGCCAGCGGAGCTTTTTTCAGGTGCTTTTTCTGTAATGACACCTGGGAGCTTAGAGTCTAGAACTGTTGTTATTGACCCTTTGACTGTAGCAATCTTGAAAACCACTGGATGGTACAGAATCAGTGAAATTGCAGTAAGTTGTATAAATTGTTTTCTGAATGATATGATACAATTTCCACAATGCATTTATATGGAGAATCGAGGAGACAAAAGCGATGAAACCATAGACTACGATTCAGCAGAAGACTGCTCTTTTGACCACAAAAGTTCCAGAACAAAAATACATGTGATACCTCAAGATGTTTCATCTGCAGTCAGTAATGATTCAAATCTAAGTGTTAGTGATACAGTTTCAGAAGAAAGAAATGTAACACTGATTTGGTTAAACAGAACTGATCCTGATATACCAGAAAAGTCAAAGAGACGCAGGAAAAAGAAAAATAAGAGGAAACAGAAGCAGAAAAAACATAATTTTGATAGTGTAGTTTCAGTGACTTCTGAAGCGGCACACCATAGGATATCACCATTACTTGTATTTGTGCTGTGGCTTATTCTCTGTAGGTAATAGATTTGTGGTTTTGGTATGTAGAATTGTCACTTTTTAGTGTGTTAATGATATGTATGTATTGTATGTGATCAGTTCTTCAAGCTCTGATTTTACTTTTATGTAAATCTGAAATTCACACACACTCACTCACTCACTCTTACAGACCATTTACACTACCTACAGACCCAACGAACCAACCCACCCCTCCACACACACATACTATATCTATCTACCTGTGTCTGATTTTCCTTGTAGTTGAGTATACAGGTTGTCCAAGTGTTATGATTGTGAGTAAAAGGATTTTATAGACATGCACCTTTTTCAAATTATTTTAAGGATGTGGTCATGCATAAGTTTTAGGGATGGCAAGAGTAAGGTGGGAGAAGGAAGGAGAGAGGTAGGATTGGATTGTAGTGAAATCTTTAAATGGGGAATACTATAATATACATTGTGTAATTCATCATTTAAAGTGACTGAAGAACAGCAAGGTTGTATAAAAAAAAAAAGATCAAAGTAAAATGACAAGTGCTAATTTGCTATCCATTGTGTCAATTCATACATTTTGAATTTTGCCATCTGTAATGCATACCTATTTGTTTAGTTTGTAGATACAGGCAGAGCAGTAATGTTGTTGATTATATTACTTTTTCTTATTTCTTTTACTGCATTATTCAGGACTTTATTTATTCATTATCATTATTATTATTATCTTCCTTTTAATGACCAATTCACTGTTTTGGCAAATTAATTTGATAAGAAAATATTATTGCCAAATTGGACATCAATGCTGGTACAGTTACCAGTATTGATATTGACCTATATTTACTGATGTGTTTTTTATTTGCCATTATCACTTTATAAGTTGTCATGTAGATATACAAGTATATCCATTTGTATGATTAGAAAAGTAATGATTTTTAGCAATCTGTGTCACTACATTGTAAATCAAAGTATTATCTATAGGTTGAGATAATTGTATCTACTCATTTTTTCAGTGCTTTTTTATGTAAAATGGTAGATATCATTTGTAAGGATTTTAAATGATTTCTTAATGTACAACATGAAATTGTGTCTCCAGCCGGACTTTTGCGTGGCATTCAAAGATGCCAGCTCTCATCACTCTCCAGACCTGCACTCAGCCAACAACAGCTGATGGAGAAGGAAAATGATAGTGGCTCAGGTAGGTGAGGATCCAACTGATAATTTCTCTATAGATTGAAATTACTATGGCAATAATAATGTGGACATAATTTTTTGTAGACAGGGTTATAGTTCTTACCCTTAATTTTATTACTTACTTTTCTCTTCACTCTTTTATATAACAGATGTTCAAGAAGAACAAATGAGGGCAATTTTGAAGTATCCAGATTATTTTAAAGTTGCCAGTTTATTTACTGTAGAAGACCTTTTCAAAGCCCGAGTTCACCTAGGACACAAAGAGGGGTCTCTTGATCCGTGCATGCATCCCTTCATCTTTGGGTCTCGCCTTGGTCATCTCATCATAGATCTTGACCAGACATCGCAACATTTACGTGAAGCTCTGAACTTCACAGCTCACATAGCTTACCGTGGAGGAATCATACTTTTTGTCTGTAGGAATCCACAATTTCAGGTATGTTTTGAACTAATTTGTTGTCTAGCCTCTTTATAGTTTTACATAAAAAAATTATGACATTTTAATAGCCATGTATCATAGTTAATTTAGTTGAGAGACCTAACATTTTAAACTTGCAACTGCATAATTTAATATGTAATTAAAAAAATATTCTAGCCATAACCAGAATTTCAAGATCACTCTTTAGTTATTTAGGCACCAGCACACATCGGACTTGCAGAAACTTCAGATTGAAGAAGTTTCATGCTGTCAGACACTTAATAAGCTGTCTAATAGATTAAAGTGATATCCCTTGTAAAATGGAAAACAATGTCTTTCATCATGGTGCCCTATAATAATTATCAGGAGTGTAAGCTAATTTATTGGTATTTATTTCCAGCATCTGGTAGAAAACACGGCCAAAGATTGTGGCGAGTATGCTCACACCAGATTTTGGCAAGGAGGAATCCTCACGAACTCAACCATCCAGTTTGGATGTGAAACTCGGTTACCAGACCTTGTAATCTTTATTAATACCTTGAACAATGTCCTCACTCAGCATACTGCAGTCAGAGATGCAGCAAAGATGTTGATTCCTACTGTTGGTATTGTCGATACGAATTGTAACCCAAACCTTATCACATACCCTGTCCCTGGAAATGACGACACTCCTTCAGCTGTAAAATTGTACTGTGATTTGTTTAAAAATGCAATTTTAAGGGGAAAAGAAAAAAGAAAAGAGGAGCTTTGATTGTAATTTATTTGTTTTCTTATTGTATATTGAGTTCCAAGTATATGTATCATGTAATTTTGCAATGTATACAACTTATGGTGAAGTTCTAAAACAAGATTCAACTACAACCTGAACAATGACTCACTGCAATTTTTCCTGTACATATTGTATAAAAGAAAGTTGATCAAGCTGTATTTTAATATACCTTCAGATTCTGATAGGTGTGTTAGCTCAGATACTGTCTACTGGTTTTCATATACAAGAAGTTCATACATATTATAATGTGTTGTAAATATGGAAATAGCATTAATTAAAAAGGCAAATTAAATATTTTCCAATTTACTATGCTGCTTGTCTGGCCAAATGAATCTGGTCACATTTATTTCTGTAGGGGACATTCTCTTTAATAAAATAAAATGTTTGAACGATTAAGCATTATATACATAATTTTATTCCAAACACCAGAGTAGCAGACTCAGTAGAACAAACTTTAAAACTCCTTCCATGTGGGTACAGTTTTAATATTCCAAATTAATGATTCTTAATGCAAAACCCCTTTTGACATAATGCTATACTTGCATTGAAAAGACTATTTATTGAATTAAATATTTACTTGCTGATGATAGATGAGTGTCTGTATGATAATCAGAATAAGGTTAATGTGTAGCATGGACTTTCAGCCAAAATGTTGAGAAGGGTGACTACTGTAAACCAGGCGATGGTTGGCAAAACTAAACTGCTGCCTTAACTAGTAATGAAATATGATTTCCCTTTATGGTTGAGAACACAATTTCCCATACAGCCTTATGCTCATTCAGAAAAGAAAAAATGGATATATGTAGTGCAAAATACCTCAAACATTCATAATAAATAACTAACATTAAAATAAATACTAAAACAGATTATGTATGAAAATATCCTCTAAGGAACACTATCCTGTCACAAACAACTTGGGTCTGTGGATGAATGCATCCGTTTATTAATTAGACTGGTAAATGGCAGCCACATCCACACATTTGGTTATGAACAGCAAGCAGTACTCTAGGCAAATTCTGTTGGACATGAGACTATTGTCTACACCTTCTCCCCAATCCGATGCTGGTTGTAGGGAGGGGTGTTCAGATGAAGACTGAGGGCCAACATGGGGGATTACCCCTGCCTTGGATCTTGGTCTTCATCTCAACTAACCAGCCTAAGCAATATTTTCATACTAGAAGTTGGGTAAATAGCATAGCAAGTTATGGGTACAGTGTTTACCTTTTCAAGTTACCATTTACCTTACTTTTGTCAGTATATTCTTATTCTTCATTATGTGCAGAAAATAACTCAAATGAACTGTACTAGTTAGATAAAAATTTATAGGCCCATAAATCAAATTTGTGATTGTGCAAGGACTCCTGGTACTTAATTATCTATGCCCCCAACTTAAAATCTGGCATTTTTTTCACCTTTTGGTTTCAGGTGTTGTAGATTGTGAGAAATTAAACTGTCCATTATTCTGCCTTACATTTTAGCTCTTTTTGAAAATTTATTAAAATATAAAATTTGTATTTGTTTTGTCAAAAACAGGAACAAAACTTTTTTTTTTTTTTTTTTTCTTTCTTTTCAGTTTCATTTCCCAATGTTATGCAATTATTAATTACTAACATTTCTATTTCCTTGTGATTGATGAACTTTTCAGGCACTTCCTCAAAAAGATAGAAAGGGTAATATATAATATCCAAAACATAGATGAAATGTTTATTCCCAACAGGGTTCACATAATTTATGCAGCAAAGGTTATTTACATTCATATACATTATCTAGGCCAGGATAAAATCAGACTCCACAATTTGGTCCATTCTAGTGAGGACATCAGTGTGATACTAGACTTCTTACTTGCCACATGGCAGTGATCTTGTTTCTATCTGTGCTTCAAACACAAATAATATTCTTAAATTAAAAATGTTCAAATGAAGGGACCTTGCTTACTTCAGCTTCTGGAATAAACTAGATGCCATCTGAAATAGTCAAAAGATCAGTATTAAATATTTGAAAAGATCCATAGCAGAATTAAAGGCATTCACATGAATAAAAAAAATATTTAAGCCAAAATGTGGTTGTAACTAGTCACTGTTAATAATCACCCCTATATTTACCTCAACTTGCTTCTACATTAGACACTAATATATTTATCACCTGAAATCAATGCAAAATCTCTCCCTCTCTCCCCTAACAACTCTAAAACAAAGGTTACTTACACAATGATCAACACAGTGTAGAAGGTCAAATAGTTCTTCAGAGCATGTTTCTTCTGTTTTTGATCTTGAACCTACTCGATCATTGCAGCTAGAATATGCTTCCCCAAGTTCTGCACAATGTTTGGTATTTGTACATGCTTCTTTAATAGCATCCATTGGGTCCTGTAAATGAAGGAGGTATTATTCAAAGAAGAGTGAGACCACTACATGTACTTCATAAATGTACAGAAATAACCAGATTACAGCAACCAAAATTAATTGAACTTACTATTAAGTCCTCCTCCTCCTCCTCTTCCTCCTCCTCCTGAAAAAGATTGAAATATATCATGAGAACCTTGTTTACAAGAGACTTTAAAGAGGGAGGGCTTTGAATAAAAAAAAGTTTGTTGTAATGGACCAACTCCTTTTAAAGAACATATAATTAAACAAAATAAAATGTGACAAAAAACAATTTAGAGACAGAAAAAGGAAAACTACAAAATATTCACATGACAATCATAAAATGTGACAACTGTTATCAGGAAGTCCTCAATTTAATTTCATGTACAGTTTACTTTGTACATTATATATCTGAAAAAAAATTCTATTTTTTTCTTGTATGGCATTACTGTTAATATGACAAAAATATCTGCTGCATATCACCATTACATGCTCAAGTCCACAACACACATACAAAGCCAAAGTTCTTAATCCTTATGACACAGGGTGGCATACACATACAGGATATGGCTGTTGTGGACAAAGTAGCAGGTGGCACTATTGCAACTATTTCCACTTCATTGGCTCATTTGACGGAGTTTGTTTTTTTTTTCCTGATAGTAACGGCATCACCCATGATTGGTGACAAGACTCTGTGCCTCCCCTTTGAAACGTTATTTTGTGTAATTTTTTTTTTTTTTTGCTTAAGCAACCATTTTCTAATGTCCATATTTGTCTTTTGATTTGTTTTATCCAGATGTTAATTACTTATTTTCCTTGCACAGACTCCATATCATACTCTCTATGTAGTCCAAGAATACGGTGCGCAGCATGGAAATTGTATCCTCCCTGGAGCTAACACTCTTCCAGTCACTGCTTACGCACATTACATTCCACATTTATTTATCGGTGGGAATAATGCTATAGCCCCCTTCTAAGCGCCAAATGAGTCAAATCACACTCAAAGAGGTTTGTACACTCATGGCAAGTCTTTTCCATCATGACAGGATTAAATAAGAATAATTAAGATCAAAAATGCATAAAACCAGCACAAAAAATGCAAAATTCAGCCAATGAAAATCCTTGAACGTAACAATCATCTTTTAAATTCTACAGTCTTCAAAAACTCTACAGGAACTCAACCCACCTTTCAGCAAAACTACATTCCAAACCCCCCAAAAATGTATTGACCAATAAACCAGCCTAATATAGCAATTGAAGTTGCCATGACTAGGCAACTGCATTTTCTATGAAGGTAACATTTTCTGTGCACCACTTTCAATGTATTGATTACTTATATTTTAATCTATTATTTATTATTTATTCATATTTCTACTAACATTTCCTCTATTAATTTAATGCTTAAGCATTATCAATTTTATTTTATATAATGTAGGTATATTATGAAGTATAATTTCGTTATGATAACCTTGATTAACTATTAAAAATCTAACAATGGGACTGCTTCCTTACATTGTTTGCCTCCCATGTCGGAACAAAACACAATGTAAATTACGTTCAACAACCTGCAGTTTTTGTGCTCAGTGTGACATGGGGTAAGTTTTTATAATACTTTCAATATTTATTTAATAATAATATTTTATGAATCTGACATTTTATAAACATATAATTTGTAGCTTTTATCCCAATTCCCAAATACAGTGTTATTAAATAAATATTTTATGGTTGGTACGGGCAATTCTGGCAAAATTATGAAGAGGCCACCCTCTTGCTCGATCTTTGCCGATCACATAGTCTCCTCCTGGGGTCACTACAGTGCCCCAAATGTGAAAATGAATGCCGGCTAGACCAAAAATATATATTCATTCCTGTGCGACAAAGTACACACAAAATAAAAAAATAATATTAATCGAAAAGTTAGGTGCAATTTCAAGATATCACTTTTTAAGAACACCTGGTTTGATAATGGTAAGCTCGATTTTGAAACCAATTTAAAATTTGTTAATTTATATCTGAGAGAGAGGTTTTCTTACGAATCTGCACGGAGTGATTTTAATTTCCCAAACAAGACTTATTTGCGATTGGGCGAGCTTCTGTTGGGAGGTTCTAATTCATTGGAGTTTTGAGAATCAATATGACAAAATAGGTGGGTCAGGGGAAATTATTGAGATTGATGAATCTAAATTTGGTAAATGGAAATATAACGTAGGTCGTGTAATTGGAGGTCAGTGGGTTTTTGGAGGGGTATGACGCAAGAGTGGGAAATTTTTTCTCGTACCCGTGCTGACGTGTGACTCTCAGCTCTTTGATTGTTGGAAGGCATACAACTGTTTAGAAAAAGAGGGCTATCAACATTTAACTGTGAATCATTCATACAATTTTGTTTACCCCAAAAGTAAAGGACATATCAATACGATCGAGTGTAAATGAAGGGAGGCCAAAGCCAAAGTGTCCTGCTTCAGCAGTAGTAGTTACCACTTCGCCGATATTTGGCCAGGGCAATATTTATGATGGCATACCTGGCTGAAAACAAAAGATTTCATCAGTTCCTCCTTGCCGCAGCTCATTTGTACCCTCCACATTGATGGTATGCGTTTTATATTTTTTATTGATTTTAAATAATTAGACATCGTGTTGATAAGAGGTGTTGGGTGGGGGATTATTTTTTATCTGTTAAGATTTTGTTATTTAGGTTCTCATGATATTTACCTTCTATATAGTTTAAAATATTATGTGCATCGGATATCGAGTTTGTATACATTGTGTGTTGCGCTTGTTTACTTTATCGATATTTCGTTTGCTCTCCATCGGAGAAAGTT